TATTTTCTTATGTTGTTCATGTTTGTACCGTCATAAACCAAAGAAAATTATTTGTATGCGTACCTGGCAATAAACTTGATTCTGATTCTGATCTATATAGACATTTTATTCATTGGGATAAACCCCTTGAGATGCACCATCTCGTTTTCAAGGGGGTCCCGACAATAGCAACAACTTACAGACATACGTAAACAAAAATAATTAAAAGCAAAACATGACACACAAGACAAACCACATACAGTCTGTTCAGTGAAATTCAAGCAATGCACACAATCATTACAATTTGAGACAGTCAAGCCAATCAGTTTCATCAATATCAGTTAATAACAAGTGCAGACCAGTTGAAAGTGAGATAACAATGCATATTTGAATATACCCAATGATGCAAGAGATCTAATAGCAGCAGGTAAAGTATTCCAGTCAGTTGGGGCTTTGAACATGAACGCTCTTCTGCCAATCCATTTTTTTGCAGTGGGGACAGAGAAATAAATCTGAACAGAATGTCTAACTTGATGAATCTTTCTCCCTCTTTCTCTCAGGGCTACGAGGACTGGCTCCGACACAAGGCTGACTGCTCTATAAACGAGTGTCCGGTGGACGTGGTGCAGCAAGGGAAGGTGGTGAGGACTCAAAGTCACAAGCTACGGGTAAGAATAGCCTCATTAGAGCAGTGTAGCACCTGAGGCTAAAAAACAACGCTACAGTGGTGCTGCATAGCCCACTTTTAAAAAAACTCAACTCCCCCCTTTCTCTTTCTAGCCGCAGTCCTCTCTAACTTTGTTTCCTTCCTCTCTGGCCTCTCGCTTGTCTTTCCCACCAATTAATTGCCGTGAAACTGTAGTAGAGGAACAATTATAGTGTCCCCTTGTGCACCGTGCGGGAAGCCCCTTTGGCAGGTTCCCAGGACTGATGTATTTCATGAGAGAGGATATTCCTGTCATCATCCTGTGACGCTCTCTTATGTCAGTCTGTTGCAACTCTTTGGTATCAGTCTCATTCTAGAAAGTGGTTTATAATCCATCAGACTTATGTAATATCAAAACCCATGTTCGATTCTATTTAGGATCCGCATTTTCTGCAATAGCATCGACTATACCTTGCCGTATTTTGCTTTAAAATAGTACGTCGAAATGGTTTCCTATGTTTAATTGCATACCCACGCATGACAGATTTGATGTAATACAGATATTTGATCCTGAGTTCAGTATTACTGTTTCAGGAGACACTGTTAAAGTGGACCTATCATGCTATATTTGAATAATATATTGTAGGGCCATACCTATACAAAACATGTCTGTGAAGTTTTTTTTCAAAATACCAAACAGATCATGCATTTTAGCCATGCCTCATTTCGCTCTATTTGCTCTATTCCAGCCCTGTTTTTACAAGGGCTGATTCTGTGGCAAATGAGCTGCAGCTGACCACGCCCCCCTGCAAAGGAGGGGGGCGAGGCACGAGCGTCATGTTACCATGCTGTAACCATGCTGTAACCATGCTGCTAACATGCCACGCAACCTCCCATTCCCCTGATAGGTGGAGAGTTGGCCATATAGGCGGAGTTCCTCGTTCCTGACGTCAGAGATATTTAAAATCTGTATCAGCCCTGTTGCAGCCCCGTTTTTAGAGATTTGGGTATGGAGGAAAAGAGAGAGGGTTGTGTTTTCTGACACTTGGTGAGTTCCCTGACACACCGGGGACACATATTCATGTATAAAAAACGTACAAAAGTGCATTTTGTATGACAGGTCCACTTTAAGTCTCCTTTATTCACACCAACGACCCCCCCGCCTCCTCATCTTTTTACTTCTCCTGCTGCTGACATGGAAATCAATCTCAACGCTCCAACTTACGCTCCAATTCCTAAAATACACTTAGAGTAGTGTTTTCGTAAGACAACACTCTAGCCACGTTCATTGATGACATTTCACCTGGATACAACTTGTGTTTCTATCTTTACACATCATTCAATTGCTATGACTGTTACACGATGCTTTGCGCAAACAGCTGCTAACGTAGGTATACAAAATATCCAACAGCAATAAACACATGATTAAAATGAGCACCACTTTTACCAGCTGCAATAAACACATTAATGGATTTATAATCATAATCCAGTAACTCGTATGATTCTAAATTGGACCTATATGCTTACAGAATACTGTTGCTTTTGGTACTTTGTAGTTTATTTGATGCCAATACTTGTAATACTTGTGAACTTTTACTTAAGAAAGATGTTCAATGTTGTTATTCTCTCAATTTGGTGTTGCTACTTTAAGGAAGAGATCTGAGTTCTCAGCACAATACAGAAGCATGAATAGTGTGCTATAAGAGTAAGACGCTGTCACGATTCTTGTGTTGTGTCACGTTTTTAGTTTTGTGTGTCTGGTAGTGGGTGTTTTGCTGTTCTCCTTTTCATGTTTTCCTCCCTGTGTATTGTCTGGTCTTTCTCCCTGTGTTTTCCTGTCTGTCGTTAGTTTCCCTGGTGTGTCTAATTCCCTGATTGTTTTCACCTGTCACCCCTTGTGTGTCTCCTGTGGTCATCAGCATCAGTCCCGCCCCTGATTGTTCCCATCTGTGTCTTATTGTCATGTGTTTAAATTCCCCTGTCTCCCAGTGTTCAGTCTCAGTTCGTCTTGTCTCTTGCCTTGGTCAGGTCTATGCTCTTTTGTACTTAGAAAAGTACCACGTGAGCGATTATCGTTTTGTTCCCAATTTTTGTCATCTCAATTCTGAGATTAGTTAGAAACCTTTTGTTTTGTTCACCGTGTTTATTGAAGAAAATAAAGTATCTTACCAATACTTTACCTCTGTCTCTCGGGTCATGCAATTGGGTCCTACCTCCTAAGTGTCTGAGTTCTTAACAGACGCNCAGCAATAAACACATGATTAAATGAGCACCACTTTTACCAGCTGCAATAAACACATTAATGGATTTATAATCATAATCCAGTAACTCGTATGATTCTAAATTGGACCTATATGCTTACAGAATACTGTTGCTTTTGGTACTTTGTAGTTTATTTGATGCCAATACTTGTAATACTTGTGTACTTTTACTTAAAGGTGACCTATCATGCAAAATGCACTTTTGTACGTCTTATATACATGAATATGTGTCCCCGGTGTTCCAGGGAACTCACCAAGTGTCAGAAAACACAACCCTCTCTATTTTCCTCCATACCCAAATCTCTAAAAAAGGGGCTGCAACGGATCTGATACAGACTGATCCAGATTTGAACACTTCTATGATGTCACAGAAGTGGCGCTACGGCTATTGGGCCAACTCCACCAATCAGGAGGAGACAGCCACGGACATTGCCGTTCGAAAGCGCTGGAGACGCTGTAGTACATATGCCAGGCCTTCAGATGGTGCTGTTCTCACAGTACTCCTACAGTATTTATGGAAGCAGATTAATATTTCTTGAGGAAAAACAGGAAGCAGCTTCTCTGAGCTGCATATTAATCTGCAGATATGTATCTCATGTCAACGCAGCGTGAATAAAGCGGAGGTGTCAGAGAACATGGCGGGAGTGTCGAGCTCAGCAGCTCCTATGTAGATGTTTAGATTGTACGCTGTATCTCAGTCTGCCTTCAGCATTGTGTTGATGAGTGCAGGTACATGTCATTCTGCTGCGTCTGCTTCTCCTGTCGAGCGTGCACAGAGTGTGTGGGATGTTGAGGGTCAGAGTAGAATAAAGCGCCCTGCTTTAAAGGTTACAGAGTCTTATAGTATGTGTTGCCGTAGCAGCAGAGGTGGACGAATTAGTAATACAGTAGTGTTGGTCTCTATGTCTCTATGTCTTTGTTAGGATCCCTTTTAGCACTACTATAAGCATGGGCTATTATTTCTTGGGTCCACACACATACAGACAAACACACAGCTGCACACTATACCCACATACATACAACAAACATAAACAAAGCAAATTAAAACATGTTATTAACAATCAAGTATGGAAGTGAAACACAAATGATCATACTATCAACCATTATTAAGCCAAACACGTCATTAACAATCCAGAACAAAAAAATAATTACTCATGGCAAAATCCTTGTCTGAAATGATCTTACAAATAGATATACAAACATCATTTTAGTCCTGTTTAAGTTTAAGTCCTGCATTTATTTATTTACTTGTTTATTAATTTATATATTTAAGTACAAAGTTATTAGCATTATTTTATAATTTGAGTAGCAGAACAAAACATACTCATTATAAAGAATGGCCAGTAGGGATTCCTTTATGAGTACATTATTTTTATTTTGCAGCAATAAAGCTGGAGATAACTTCAATGAGTTAGTTAGTCGCCTGGCATCTTAATCCATGAAAGCACATCATAATTCATTATTGGTTTATATTTGTGTATGAATAAAACTTACCTGCAAAGTAGCTTTTGTTGACAAATTAATGTACAGGAGCCAAAAGTACAATATCTGCTTCCAAATTGAAGCAGAGTGGAGCATTAAATAGAAATATACAAGAAAAGGTACCTCACATTTGTACAGTAATTAGGTAAAGTACTTGAGTAAGTGTACTGTGCTTAACAGCAGTGTTCACTTCATGCCATTAGTGGGGAAAGACATTTGTCATCAGAAAACAGAAACTCTCTCTCTCTCTCTCTCTCCCTTTGTGTGTCTTGCAGCGTTCTCCGTACCAAGGGTCCTCTCTCCTGTAGATCAAACAGAGAGGATTAGAGTGTGAATCGGGAGCAGGAATAATGATGAATATATTAATCATGCAAAATCAGAGAGCGTGTGTCATGTGTATGGTCACCGTGGAGATGGGATTTATCAGAGCTTAAGCTGCTCCACTCGCATAATCCGTTATGCAACTTCTCAATCCTTTGGGGGAAAAAAAAGGAATGGTAAAGGATGAGCAGACGTTTCCCCTCAGGCCTGTCTGTCTGTCTTTCACTCTGTTTATCTCAGGCTCTCGTCATAATACTCATTTATTATTTATGCGAAAGCCATTAATGTGTGTCTTGTGTGTGTCCTGCTGTCAGGTGGGGGACATCGTGGTGGTGAGGGAGGATGAGACTTTCCCCTGCGACCTCATCCTGCTCTCCTCCAGCCGCCATGACGGGACCTGCTACGTCACCACCGCCAGTCTGGACGGGGAGTCCAGTCACAAGGTGCTGCCATCAGGGGGGGATTTAACTTGATTCAAAACTTTATCTCAAAACAGGAAAGCATTTGGGATTTAGTAGTAGGTCTTTAAAACATGTGTTTGCTCATTTAAAAGCCATTTGGTGGCCCATGTACTGGGATTAGTCTCTGTTGCAGAGGACCATGGTTCGAATCCAACCCAGTAACCAATCCACACGTTATCCAGTCTTTCCCCCACCCCCCCTTTTAACTCTGGCCCAAAAATGAATCTCAAATAAAAATGTCCAATTCCCTTTCCAGTTTGTCACATCTGAGAATTCAATGATATTCTTTGCCGTACATTATTGATTGATTACATTTATTTGATGTGTTTGATGAATTAAACAACTAATGTAGCACTGCAGTCAGTATATTGCATAAACTGCATATCTCTGATTTAGTCAGAATCTCGTCACAAAGTGTAAAGAGTAGTTCAGGATTTTGTAATATTTGACTGGATTTTAAACTGAGTATCTTTGATCCCAAAACAGGATCATTGGGATTCAGTAGGTCTTTAGGTGGTATGTAAGCCAAATTGAGCAAGTGACATAAATATCAAACACTTCCCGTTTCTCAAAATCTAAGAATTTGGTGATTGATTGAAAAAACACAAATAACTATCTTTGTTTTTTCAACTGTCTCAGACAATTTGAAGCCATTGCTTGATTTTTTTTCAGTCGTTTCGGACACTTTTTGAGAACAATCGTTCAAGATGATCATGCGCAGATTTATTGATTTGAAAAATAATCAACACATGAACACAGACACAGAAATGCACAATGACATAAGTGACACATGTGGCATTTCATATTTGTGCTTCTACTCTGATGTTCATCGCTGTCACTCACACGCATGGCTTAGCACACACACACACTCACACACATATATATTCGTATCCCAGAGCGTATGGTGGAGTACTACAGCCTCGCTCCTCAAACTCACCCTCGGGTCGACCCCCTGATGAGCCCCTCCCCCCCACCATGCTGTTCTCTGCTCACCTCCCCGCCTCGCTCAGTCGTTTAGAAAATCTGCCAGAAGCCATACTGCGGTCGCCAGATGAACCCTGCCCTCATTAGTGGCTTGCGGGTGACATTTCCCTCTGTTGTCTTCTTCTTCCCCCTTCCTCCACCCTCCTATCTCAGACCTATTATGCTGTACAAGATACCCTGGCCTTTAGAACGGAGCAGGAGGTGGACTCGCTACACGCCACCATCGAATGTGAACAACCACAGCCTGACCTCTACAAGTGAGCGTGACACCAATCACTGATGCATCACATTTTTTTTTTCATTTACTTGATCTTGTATTACTTTTTGTTTGCATTACTCTCTGGGTTTTATGATGTGTTTGGTTGCTTTCTTTAATTTCTGTGCGTATTGAATGTGTTCTGTTTTAATGGAAAGCACTTTGTTATTATGTTTGAAAGGTGCTTTATAAATAAGGATTATTCTTATCCTTAGTCATATTAAAGTAGTAGTATTTATTTATTTTATATTATTTTTGTATAATGCACAACTGTTTCTTGTCTTACTTTCATTGTACTGTGATTTGTTTTCCTCTTGCAGATTTGTGGGACGCATTAATATTTACAAGGACAAAGAAGAGCCAGTGGCTAGGTGAGAGTGCTTTTTATCCTAGAAAGGTTATTTATTTTTATTTGTTGGTGTAACGCTTATTGACAAGGCCAACTGTCTTTCTCAATTCATCAAATGCATTTATTTATTTTTCTCAATGAAAACAATCTGTTTCTTTCCTGCAGACCACTTGGGGCTGAGAATTTGCTCCTTAGAGGAGCCACACTGAAGAACACACAACATATTTATGGTAACAAGCACTGTTTAATATCTCTTTAATGTTTGAGCAATGAGGCTGATATCAATCTTTTCTTCATAACCCTCTTTGTTATCTCCCCTCAGCTGTTGCAGTCTACACTGGTATGGAGACTAAGATGGCGCTTAATTATCAGTCTAAATCTCAGAAGCGCTCCGCTGTAGAAAAGTAGGATCCACGTCCACACTCTTCAATTTAATAGTATGGTTTATACATTCCCTGTTCCCTCCTCCTAATCTGTGCCCTCTCTCTCTGCAGGTCGATGAATGCCTTCCTCATAGTGTACCTGTTCATCTTGATCAGTAAAGCGGTCATCAACACGGTTCTGAAATACGCCTGGCAGTGGTCTCCAGACAGAGACGAGCCCTGGTACAACCACAGGACGGAGAACGAGCGCCAGCGACATGTGGTCGGTACACCAACAACACTTATTTTTTATTTATTTAAATGTTGTACAGGCAAGAGATAAACATATATTGTAAATTACACAACAGTATGATGAGAGGACAATACCTACTCACACAAAATACAAGTAAATAAATCAATGAAAGAGACAAAACCAAGTTAACAGGATATCTTCAACATTTCAAATGACTAGGTCGACAGTTCAATACACCCAAGAATCAAAAACTCATGACATGCAGAACATATTTATTCTTCAACATTATCACACTCTCTCTTAAAGCTAATTGTGTACCATTTCATGTTGTGTTGTGTCACCTTTTAATAGTCTGAAGCCATTTAAAAAAAAAAAAAAAGGTTTGTATGGTAGAGCCAAAAAATGGTCTCTACAATGAATTATAACAAAGTCATTTCCCGCTTTCCCTCCTTACTCCAGGTGATCCGAGCCTTCACAGACTTCCTGGCCTTCATGGTCTTATTTAACTACATCATCCCAGTGTCTATGTACGTGACGGTGGAGATGCAAAAATTCCTGGGCTCCTATTTCATCACATGGGATGAGGAAATGTTCGACGAGGAGCTGGGAGAGGGGGCTCAGGTCAACACCTCGGACCTGAACGAGGAGCTGGGACAGGTACATGAGACGCAGACGTTAGCAAACAGTATCTTCATGTAAACTATTTAAAGACACACTCTTATCCTACCCTCTTCCTTCCCTCCCAGGTGGAGTATGTGTTCACTGATAAGACAGGCACTCTCACGGAGAACAACATGGAGTTTATTGAGTGCTGCGTCGATGGGAACGTCTACATCCCACATGCCATCTGCAACGGCCAAATCCTCAGCGCTGCCTCCAGTATAGACATGATTGACTCCTCACCCGGAGGATACAGGAGGGTAAGTGTGTGTGTGTGTGTGTGTGTGTGTGTGTGTGTGTGTGTGTGTGTGTGTGTGTGTGTGTGTATAGTGTATGGTCATTTGCTTTTACCTCTCCCTCCAACTCAATCTAAGTGCATCTCGGTAAAGCATTTGCTGACAGGCCACTGTGACTCCGCTTACCTTAAAAATCGCTGTTGCAAATCAGTTAAGGTAAATG